ATGATTCAGTCTACTCCTTGTGGTTTTCTGGTCATGCTTTACATAAAAGCTAATTTATGCAAACCAGTTGTACTTTTACTCACTCAAAAAGTGAGCACAGCTAAGATGGTGGTTTAAGGAAAACTCTTGAAGTAGAAATGGTTATAAATGTATAAATTTGTCTAGGGTTCTCTATCAGACATTACTCATTAATAAAGCATAAAAATTATTTGGCATCAAAAATGTCTCACAATATTTCCCCCACTGAGGTAAAATAAAATATAAATATATTTTCATATATTCACGTACATTGTCTTGACTAAAATGTAAGTGAATGATTTCTCTTGTCTTCTTTTATTTTCTTTTTCTGAAGTGACCAAAGCCAAGAATGTTGTAATATAATACTTGTAGTCATAACTCTTTTAATTTCTCCCTTAGAGCAAGTGAAGATTGTTTAAACTCATAGATGATGAGATCAACGGGGTCTTCAGTTCTCCTTCATTGCTAGGTGTCTGTTGAAAAGCACTGTCTGGCTTTTCCTCAGCTCATGACTCCTTTTTCTGAATTCACCTTCATGACCTAGGTCAGATCAGATCCTCTCACCTTTTCCCAGGAGCTTCAGGTTGTGCTCTGTTTTAAAATGGATGGTGGCTTTGTCTTATGCTTGTTAGAATTTGCTGAGCACCAACAATCATAAAGGCCTGGTTCAAATCTTCCCCCCAGAGTGTTAATTTCCAGTCTAAGGTTTTGTTCCTGGTATGGTTCAACATTTATCAAAATCCTGCAGTAACAAAACTCTACAATGTTGGATTTATTTGTATTCTGTTGTTAAAAATACGTAACCCAGAAGTTTCATTTTTAACTAGAGTGCATCACTGTTCACATTTAAATAACAAAAATCCAATTTAAAGTCAAGCAGCAGAGAATTGTGAGCAAGGAAAAATTAATTTGAAAAATCAGTTGTTTCAAAGGATATTATGAAACATGAAACCACCTTCAAATTATCTGTTTCTGTACTAACATGAAAGGCTGCTTGAAATTCTTCTACTTATTTTTCTTATTTCCAGGAATTTTTTTTTTGATGAAGTCAAGACTGGTGAAACATCTTTGTTCCTGTTAATTTACACATACTCATAGTAACCTGTACTACTTAGGAGTTATTCTGGTCATAAATTTCTCATAAATAAATTCTTCAGTGAAGACAGTATAAATTAGAACATCATAAGAAAATTTGGGTTTCTGTAGACCCTCCCCAAATTGCAGTGGCAACCCCAAATTGCAGTGGCAACCACAAAGGCTGTTGTGATTTGTTGATGTATTATAACTGCAAAATACTACTGAATAAATAGGAAAATGAAAGTAGAGGGAGTTATTTCATTAAGTGATTGATGTTTCTGCTTTTACTATAAGTCACAGGAAAATAGTTGCCACCATCATCCATAGAGCTGCTTTTAAAATTAAAATCTCCTATCGCAGTCAGTATTATCCTTTCCACCCAACCATGGATTTTATCAGGATGTCCTTGTCTCATACAGAACTTTGCTAAGAAAACAGTTTTCTTTATCCTCTACTCAAGGTAGTACTAAGAAGATGTAATGATTTCAGGTTACTTAGCAACACAGGCAGTAAACATCTCTCTTTAAAGACGACAGTCCCCCTTCCTAAGAAACATTCTCTCTCAGTTTACTGCCCTGGGGTTTGAGGGGCTGGATTCTTTTCTGTAAGACAGCATCCAACAGTCAATGACACTGTGTTAGATATTGAATTTATCATAGGAGAAGAAAAAATAGAACTTTAGAAAGCAAAATGCCTTAATGGGTTTCATTCCAGAGAGGCATTTCCCTAGCTTTTCCATGCTACTATCAAGAAGCTGTTGGAATGGTGGTTGAGGAAGCAGGCAACAGACAACTTTCAGGGGAGCTGTACTGCGAGCCAGTGCTGTCAGCTGTGCCACAGCAGCGCTCAGAGTGGTGTTTCTGAGGATGCCATCCCACAAAATAGCTGTGCTAGGCCCATGACCCAGCACTACAAAGAGCATGAAGCAACTTACCTGCTTGATATCAAACTACCTCAGTGTTTCTCTGCTGCAAAACCCTGTAAATACTGTGTCATTGCTGATGTGTTATGAACCCACAACACATGACTTTGAATTCACAACATGTGACTTCCCAGTAACTTGTTTTACAGCCTTGGCTGTAGCTTTGTCATGTACTTATCTTGTATAAACCGTGTTCACATAAATAAACTTGAGCACTAGTTGTCAGAAAAATACTGAACAAGTTAAACTAGAACAATATCTCTTTAGTTCTAACATCATCTCTGACTGAAAATATTCCTGTTTAGTTCCAGTTATATGTCAGCAAAAAGTATGGGAACAGTTGCAATTCTGGATCAAATATTTATATCATTTGATCCAAGTTCACTTGTTTCACGTGGGGCCAAATTAATTTTAATCTGAGACATAGTAATTAGAAATAAGAGAAAACAACAGATCAGAGAAAGGAAAACCTGTCACTCTTGAGGAAAAAAAATGTGAAACTATCCTCATAGATGCAGTACACACAATAGTCATCTAGAGAAAACCAGAAGATCCCATTCTTCTGAAGCCCTTTTTGTCTTTGCTATCTGTGATTCAGCTTTGGAATTAATTATGACAGGTTTTATGACTACAATCTTTTAAGGCTAAAAATAGAATGGGAGACTGTTCTATCATCTGTATCGCTGAACTGTTTGCTGCCTTATTAATGGAATACTGCTAAAACAAAATTTCTAGTAACTCCAGTATCTTCAGACCATAATTGAATATCTATTTTTTTCTCTCCTATGTCATGATACTGCAAAAAGAATATGAATCTGGTCTTGTAACTTTTGCTTGGTTTAGCCTGATTTTTTAAATTATTATTATAGTGTCTGCAAACAAGTCAACAACAGTATAAACTCAACCATTAGGATTTACATGGTCAGTGTCAGAAGTGATGTCATTCTGGAAATAATGCTAGCAAAACTGCACTAGATATTTTTCATACTTCAGCAGCATGGCTTATCTACTGATAATCATTCCTACTGATCAATGATCCCATGCAGCTGCATCAGTGCTGGGCACATATGGAGAAGAATGAATGCAATTTAGCATTCACATTTGGCACTGTCAGTAGGATTCATCTGATTTGCAAAGGAGGCAGACAAGAAATGCAGCCATTAATAAAGATGATTCACTGTGGTAGATGATCTTTGAAGCCTATACTTAAAAACATCAGATCTGCATATATCCCTGAATTCTGCAACTGTTTTTAAAAATTTTTTGGCAAGTAACTAAGCTATTAAGATGTAATAATAACCCAATAATTCAAATACAATTACACCCCAAAACCTAAATATATTCCCTTGATTCCCTTGATTTGCAGAAAGCTTTCAGTAGGAAAAATATTGATGTGCTCTAGATTTAGACTTGTTTGGATAGCATCCAGCTCTCTGGATTTCTAGTTAAGGATTCCACTGCTCTGTTGGATTAGATTTCACAGGATGAGGTTAAAGACACAAATTACTGCTTTAAAATACCAATGGTCCCCAGAAAGAAATGGCTTGGGGTTTACTTTTATGAAAATTTTAAGATCTCTCAGTAAAAAGAAAGATTTACGAAATACTGAAATTAGGGTTTTAAAGAAAAGTCCAATGGCCTTTGAATAAATAGAAATAAAATGGACCTGAGGAACACCAAAACAGTTTTCTTGCCATATGTTAATTACAGTACTTAGTGTGATATTCAGTTAATAGTAAGGCGCAGATTAACTTAAATGACTAAGAGATTTTTAGAAAGAAGAATTCTTAAAAATTAACATTTTTCAGAAGACTAAATGGAGATAAGATTTCCCAGATCCATGCTATCTGGGAAAAATGCAACTCTGTTGTATCTGCTTTTTTTTTTTTTTAATGGGCCAATATACAAAACTGTTCAGTACTCTAGTTTCATTTACTCTAACAGTTAAGTTGTGGCTGATCAAGAAATCTCCCAACATAGTTTGAATCAGACTCCAGCCCAATGGTGGCAACTAAGGTGTACACTAATCACAGAGTAATTTGTGGAAAAAAAATTCAGCATTTCTGGTGTTCAGTAAAGCCCCAAGACATTTTTTCTGTTCTCTGTGTTCATTCTTTGCAAGTTATCTGCTATCAGTCTCCATCATAGGCAATATGCAAGGCTTTTGGATTGTTCAGGTCTGGCCAATCTTACCTTAGTTTGACACCAGAGGCAACTGCAATTCCACTGAGGCTGTTGACATGGCACTTGAAAGATACTTAGCATAAGAGAAAATAGATATTTTTGGCTGTAGAGTATTTTGTCAGTGCTTTTAAGAAAGTTTCCACAAACCAGAGCAGCACCCAAGACAAAAATATGAAATATTTTTTGTGTGCTGAAAAAAATTAAATTTATTCATCCACTTTGTACACCTTTTAAATTTTATGATTTTTTTTTTTAGTTCTATATGAGGAAAAGATGGTGAAGTATCTTTCTGAATATCTGCACTGATTTTCATTACTCCCTCGGTAGTTTAAATTAATCCCAGATGTGAACAAACTGTTTTGTTGTTATTCCTGCTGCTTGCTGTATGCCAGCACAGTCAAATACTAACAAGTGTGCAGCCATGTCTTTTCTGAGCAGAGCAGCACAGACACCTGCCATCAAAGAGCAGACATTCATCTCTGCTTGCTGAGGATTTATGTAACTATCAACTCCATGTATAGATAAACAGATGAACAAGAAGAAATAACCTCCTTGATGGCTTTAGGTCATCTACTTTATTGTATCTTATTTGGATAAATTTTGAACTTTTATGTATCTTTTAATATCTCTAACCAAAACCCCACTTCCCCTCCCTACTTTTTTTCATTTTTGTTTACTTTATCATTTTGCCTTTATCTTCTCTCCCAGTTTCTCATGACTCATGCAATTTTCATTACATTACATTATCATTCTGAAAACAGTGAGAAATCTGTCAAGAATAGATGTAAATGAGATGTAATAAAGAACATTTGGGATTTATTTCAGCAATCTGTGTGATATTAAAGAGATAAGGAGGAAAAGAGAATGCTTGCTTAATGTATGGTAAAGACAATACTAGACAAAGTGGAGAACAATATTTAAAGACAATCTATTCCTTCTGAACATGGTCTGCTCAGATTAGCATGTTCAATGGAAACTTTACTACCTATAACATTGTGCCAGCTATGACACTTTTAAAAATAGAAAGGCAGGATTTGTTCATGAAAGTCTTCTGCAGTTATTGATGTTATTATTTATTCTGAACAATTTATGCTTGGTTCTTTATTAAAGAAAGTAAAAAGCACAAATCTTGGCTTGAAGATTTTATGATGATGATGAGCCTTTCTGCAGTAAATCAACTGGATAGACTTCTGCTGATGTTGTGTCTCCACATGAGGCCAGGAATCTGCTGCCATAGGTAACTTGCAAGGTCAGGTCTTTCTTAAAAATCCAAAATAATAAAGGAAATAAACCATCAAAATTGTTTCAAAAGAATACAAAAGAGAACACAGGTCCTCACACATATATTTTGACATCTCTTCATTTTAACAAACATAATTTTCAAAAAAATTTTCATATGAAAGTGAATATGCTTTTCACTTCTCACAAATTCAGTACTGATGCTTCCACTCTTTGGCAGGTTCTCATAACCCAGGAGTTTGACAGAGTCCGGTTTCCTTCATATGAGAATTCTAATTCCTCACAATTGTGTAGAAAATAGTCACCAAAGCACAGCCTCAGCTAGAGCCTAGCAGACTTCCTCACAGCAGGAAATCATGCAGGAAAGATGCAATAGTCTGGAGAAATCCTAGGTAGGAGAACAAGAAAGAGCATAGGACCTGACGTACAAGTCAACAATCAAATGTGGAATGATTTGGCAGCCAAGACCTACCATGCTGAATCAGATGGCAGGTCCATTACCAAAACAAACAACGTAGGAACAAATGAATCATTAAGCATGTGAAATGTGTGGGCTTGAAAAGAAAAATTTGGCTATTCAGAATGTTTTGGAGTTACAAAGCTGTATATGTTCAGCAGAATAAGGTTTGAGCATGAGTGAAAATAATTTCTTTGGAAGTCTTCACTAGTATGAAAAGGTTACTGCTCTTAAATAAGTATTTCTTATTAAAGTAAAAATCCCCATCATTTATCAACACCTCTAACTGTGGTTCTAAATGATGTTTTCCAGGTCCTGATAATAATGCAAGCATGGTAATATTTCATTTAATTAGGCAGAAGATTAACAGAAGAAGAAAACAAGAGTGTCAGGAAACAGAAAACTAAGAGAAAATACCAGAAGAATAATATTTATTTTATGGAAGAAAAGCAAAGAGCCAAAACACCTTCTAAATCCAACAGAAATATCAGTAGGTTTAAAGCATTTTATGTAATACTGATAAATTGTCTTCAATTGTGCTGTAAATTATGTATTGCTATATGCATAGAATAGGGAAGTTCTTATATACATATGAAATATGAATATTTGCTTTAGAATATTTGGCTTTAGAGTAAGAAGAAATTCAAATTACTAGACCTGTGTCACACTGACTCAGCAATGTGCCAAGATTAGAAATATTGTTAATATTTTATTGTAAAACAATTCTATCAGACTCTCTTTGTTTTATATTGAGTGCCTTTTTGATTTTTCATGTTGTGTTGTATTGTATACTGACAAGGAAGGTCCGGAACAAATCATAGAATCATCAGACTCTAAGCTACTACTAACTCCCTCTCACCATGGTAAAGGTGGTTTTTTGTCACCCTATTATGTATCTGCCATAGCTTTCCTGTTAAAGAAAATTATCAGATATTCAGAGCCCTTTATAGCTTCAAGCTACTCAAAAGCAGTTCTTCTCTTTTAATACCCCAACTCAAGAGAATTTTTTTAATTAAAGAAAACCATCCATTTTAATATTGTATGTTTCTTATTTATGGATTACCAGTGAAGAGGTTGTCTATGGGAATAAAGTTATTAGCATAAAATACCACAAATATTTGTAGGTAAGATCTTACCTACACTATTTTGATGGCTTTTAAGGAGAATAGACTGAATGACTGAAAGTGCACAGGCGTGGTCTGATACTGTCCATACCAGCAAAATCAAGCCTACATTATAAATGATATTGCATAGCCAATTACCTCCACTTAGTTTCAGCTTTAGAACAACAACAAAAATATGTTAAAAGTTTCTTTCTCTAGCTCCACATTTTTTAATAGATTTATACTTTTTATAATACTTAAATTTTCAGCTTCGTAGTGGTTCTTTAATATTGCACTTTTAAACAGTAATGCAGTTCCTTAGGTGGAGAAGGCTTCTTAGAAAATTTGGGTCAATTTTTCATATCTACCTATCATACCATACCATACCATACCATACCATACCATACCATACCATACCATACCACACCACACCACACCACACCACACCACACCACACCACACCATACCATACCATACCATACCATACCATACATTCCTGTCATAATCCTGTGTTGAATCTTTTTCATGTGATAGGCCAAATATGGAATGTTCAATGATTTTCTTTGAACTCTCCATGCTAAAGAATATTCGTACACAGTAGAGCTAATTGCTATCCTTCATCAAACATTTGCATTTTACCCTCTAGAACTTTCATTTCGGTTAGCCGGTAAAGCTAACTATTTTAGATTTTCAAATATCTCCACTAAGCTTAACCCATCATTTTCTCAGGAGACTGGAAAAAATTTATTGCTGCACACATATATATTCTAATGTCATTTATCTATTTCCAATTTATATTCAAATCCTTTTTCCATTCACAAGATATTCTTAACCAGGAATTTGCACAGCAGAATAATTAAATCAATGAGAGAATTTTGGTAAACTAAAGATAGGCTTACTTTGAATAACTCCCAGAATTACTTCAAGGGATATATAGAAGTTCCTCTTCAAAAAGTACAAAAGCATCTCAATACAGTGTTACTGTAAGAATACTTACAATGTAGGAAGTGGATATAAAGCAAAAAATCAGTAGACACTATGTATTAGCATAAAATGGTTGCTTTTGGGTGCTATAAGGAATTAGTATTTTTTGTTTCAAGTAAAGTTTCCCTTATCAGATAATTGAAGAGACATGTAAGTAATCCATGGACATATAGAAGTTCTTGCAGCCAAAGAGAATAATCATTCTCACAATTACACTATGATTCACATTAAATTCAGGGTATCTCTTGACTTTCTCATGGATATACTTTCGTCTTATTTCTGTCAGCTGAGTCCATACAGCATTTTTTGGCTGTCACTAACAAGACAGGTCAAAAAATAAGTTGTCAAGTTTATGTTTCCTGACAATTTTCATTTCTCACCTCATTGACAGGTTTTCCTGCTTAGACAAATACATTTCTGTATTTTCTATCAAGGTCTTTTGTACTTGAGATGTTTAGTTTAAAATTAAAATGTTCAATATTTGACAATCTTATCAGAAACCTTCTCAAGTCCTGTGTTTACCCAAGCTGTAAATCAAGGTGATTTTGATTTTAAATCAATTTTGGGCTTTTAACTGGCACTATATTTTACAGTAATTTTTCATCATTCAGGAAGCATCACATCTGCCATTCTGGAAGAAATGTTTTCTTGGTGCATTTCCCCCTCCTTCACCCTTTTAATGTAGTCTCACCTGGCTACTGGCCAAATGATTTTATAGACAATCCATAAATTACCTCATATGAAGGAAGCAAAAATAATTGCAGCAACTAGCTTTGCAGTGTTTTATTAAAAACAATTCTAATAGTTGCAATTAGGGGAGGAATTAAAAACCTTTAGTGTCCTTATAAGAACTAACTGGTAGTCTGCCATCTACCAAAATCATTCCTTAAAAATCAACAAAAAAAACCCCTTACAACCAAAGTGAGATTTCCAACTAAAGTAAAATTTCAAAATCAATATTTTTACAGAAGGAGAATTTAACGTGGAGAAAGGAGGACAGAGAAGTAAACTCTGCACAAAGATGTCTCCCACAGAGTGCAGTTAAGGACATTTTTCCCAGCACAGAACATCTGAACTAATATATGGCCTTGACTTTTTTCTTTCTGACACTTAGTAGAATCAATGCTGGATACATGTATGCAAATAGCTATTTCAGGACTGCAAGCTTTTCTGAGGTTATTGATAACATAAACCAGAAAAACCTTTCAGAACATTAATGTACTACTAAAAATGACCTTTCAAAATCTTCAAGCTTCAAAGTTACACCAAACATGACAACTCAGCACGACAGAACTGCATCTGGTCTCAGAGTACTCCCATCTGAGCTGGAATCCATTGCTTCAGTGTCCATCCCATGGCGGGAGTGACAGCAGGTCTGAACTTGGAGGTCATATTTTGCCACAGGACACCCAAACGTCAAGCAGTATATTTGTACTAAATTCATCTTATTTTACTTGGAATGCAGTAAAAAAAGACCGAAGTTTCAGCCTTGAAACTGCCCACACAAAGGAGCAGTAATTGCTTTCTCTCACTTAAAACAAATAGATTGTGTTTTGCTGGGCTTTAATGTGTCTAGAGGACTGACTTAGTAAGTCATAATAGCTATCCTTTATATAATCCTATCTGATATCCTTAAGCTTCCTTCTCGGAAATAAAGATGCATTATAGCTTTGCTGAGAATGTGAGCATCTATTCTGTTCTCTTACTTGAAAAACTAATTCATTTTATTGCTACATTACTGAATACCAACTAAATACTAACTGGAAATACAGCTCTGTGAATAAATACCGAAGTATTCTCTAGGGTTAATAAAAGCCATTCTTTAATACACTACAAGCAATGATTTTTGAATTGTTTCTCTCTGTGTGAAAGTTAGTTACCGCTTTCTTTTAAAAGTAAGTCATGTACTATCAAAGGAAGCATAAGTTATACTATGAAGTTTTCAAAATAATCAACAGTAATGTTCTGTAATTTTTATATATGTGCCTACCCACTTTAATGTGCCATGATGGGAAGATCTGTATTTTTGGTCTAAATCAGATGTAACTGAGTTGGTGTGGGGGTGGCAATGCTCACTCTGTACTGGGCACTGGTGATGCTACACCTCAAGTGTTGCATCCAGTTTTGGCCCCTCACTGCAAGAAAGGCATTGAGGTGCTGGAACAGGTCCGGAGAAGGGCAACAAAGCTGGGGAAAAGTCTAGAGGGACATATGAGAAGTGGTTGAGGGAGTTGCCATCATTCGGTCTGTAGAAAAGGAGGCTCAGGGGACTCTCCACAATCACCTGAAATGAGTCTGTGGCTGAGTGGGAGTTGGCCTTTTCTCCTGGGCAACCAGTGACAGGACAAGAGGTAATGTTCTCAAGCTGCACCAGGGGAGGTTCAGGTTGGATATCAGGAAAATTTTTCACTTAAAGGGTGGTGAGGCATTGTAATGGGCTGCCCAGGGAGGTGGTGGAGTCACCAACTCTGGAGATATTCAAGAAATGACTGGACGTGGCACTAAATGCTATGGTTTAGTTGACATGTTGGTATTTAATCAAAGGTTGAACTCAATGATTTTGAGGCCTTTTACAATCTTAATGATTCCACTATTCATCCACTATAATACAGAACTCATTTCTGAAAATTCTGTACTCTATCAGCAGTCCAAAAGTAAAACAAAAACAAGTGTGCTCTCCTCAACTGTTGAATAGAAGGAAAGCATTTATTACTCTTCTAAGAACATCAGCAGAAACAGGTGCAATAAAACTTCATCTTCTACAGATTCAAATATCTTATTGAGAATGTAGCTTAGTGGAAACCCAATGGGCTGTTATTACTTTTGATGCTGTAATGTTTGTGTGCATCTGCTTATTTTAAGACTCCATTAAGCTAAGCACTGTATACACACATGGTAAAAAGTGTATTCCTTACCATCAAAGGAGCTGACCTCTAAAACAAATTACTACAGAAATTTCTGCAGTCTGGAAGTGAGATGAGAGGACACAGAAATAGAAACAAAAGTATTACACTACATGATGGTGGGTGATACAACAGTCTCATAAGTAAAAACTGCAGCAAGGAGAAAAGATCCCTTAGCATAAGTCTGTTTAACACATTTATGGTATTAGACAGTGAGGGGCACACCTCATTTCCTGCAGGAGCTTCTTCCACTACTAAAGACAGCCAGCTCAAAAAAATCTTTTTCTGCTTTCTTAACCCAAATGATGTAGCAGAAAAGTGAGACGAGGAGCTGAAAACAAGCGTCCTTACAAATAAAAATTCGATATTTGAAAGCTTGCTACATTTAGGGGCCTGTGAGCAGTAAAGCACCAGGATATCAGTTGCTGCTCTTCTAATAACCTATAGTAATAAAACCCAGACTCATGGTTATGTTCAAAATATATCAACCAATTTTTGAAATTCCTTTAATGGTAACTTTTTTACTGCAGTATCCCAATGCCAAACAATTCTAATTTAATGCATTTACCAAATCCCCACCATTGCTATCACTATAGGAATGAACAATAAAAGTCATTGAAAAAATGTTACTTACTTCCCCATATCTCACAGAATAAGTGATTCTTCTCTCCCCATAAATGCTCTTTTCTCTAGAAGCTAAAGACTGTTGGTCTGAGTTGATGGAGAAAGGCAGCTAATCTAAGGTGAGCCAGAGGATAATTCAAAATTGAGCCTTTTTGGACAAATTTGAAAAATAAAACAAAGACAAAGCCAGCCATTATGGGGATAATACTTGCTCAATTTCACAGCCTAATAAGAAAAAAGATGCACTCTAAAGCAAGAAGGGTCCTTTTAATTACCTTCCATTTGGGGAAAAAAAAAGAGAAAGCAATTTTCATCACAGTTGCTTCACAGAGTTTATGATCCAGTCACTTGGATTTCATGTTACAACTTCTTTACTTTGGAAATTAAGTTGTTTGTTCATAAACATTGTAGAATACAACACAGAAAAGACAGGAGATCTTTACATACAGTCACAGACAAAACCACCAGCTGGACAAATTCTAAAATTCTTTGTAAATATGTCTAAATAAGAGTCACACGATTTTCTTCACCTATTTTATCTTTAAATTAATTAAAAAGTGCTAACAGAGGAAAGCATTTCTTGTCACTTTTCTTCAGTATTTTTGGTGGGGTTTTTTCACTACCTCTTGAATGATATTGCAAGCAAAAAACCAGTATGTTAATAACAATTGAAAAAGAAATTTAAATTTATACTTAATTCTCTTAAAAAAGTTGTTGTAAGCCAATCTTTTTATCACTACGTGTTCTGTACTGGGAAATATTCTCTTTGAGAATGGAATACAAGTTTTTCCATAGTGCTGCACACCACTAAAGGATCACTCATATTTAGGGAAAAATACGTGCAGTCAACCAATTCTTTTAGCAAAAATGTGAGATCTTAACCCTCAAAGTCTTCAGCTATCTTCACTATTTTTAAACAAATGTGAAATAACTATACATAATGTAATTTTAAAGTAGTACCCATTGCATTTCAACACATTGTTTCAGGCTCAGCAACAGTAATACTATTCACTCTGGTTCTAGTGAGTGAAAAATGAGGGTCACATTCAGGTGTCTGCAAAAGCCCATGTAGACAGACTCAACAAGGTTTCTCAATCCTTGTCTCTTGTTAGGTTGACTAGTAGAGACACTGTATTTTTTTTCCCATATGAAGATAAAAAGCTCTGTATTTTCTTGCAGGTAAAAAAAAGTCTCCATGTCAATTAATTGAAAAAATACCTAGCTCACATTGACTGAACTTTTATTTGTGTGTCAGAAAAACATACAGAGAAGCTCTCTAACAAGGCAGTTTGGTGAGAGAAAAAATGAGACTGTACTTGAATGGGATTTCCAAGATCACCTTTATTCAACAACTACAAAAGGTGAAAACTCCAATATCCTCATTATTCCTGTCAATTCATGTTTTGTCTCCATACCAAAATATTGAAGAAGCCACCAACCTTCTCTTAAAAAGATATCACCCAAACAGGCATTCACATAAGCAAGTACTGCTAAGCCAATTGCAGAATTATAACTGGCAAGTTTAATTTTGTCATGGAGCTGGAAAAGGCAGAAATGTTTAGAGAAATTACAGGATTGAAGAACCATTATTCCTAGTAAATGCTATGAGAGTTTTGGCGTTCCTAGATACCTTAAATAAATAAGCAACTTTGGATCAGTAAGTTTTGATTAGCATTAAATATATTCAAGGGTTGAGGGCTGGAACCTCAGTGCCTTCTGCTTATTAGATTGGTTGTGAATTTTACTCTGTTTGGTAACTTCATTTTATTTTTCATAAAATTATAATTTAAAAACCACATCAAGTTAAGTATGTTATTGTTTAAAAACTTAACTGGAAATTATTTGATCTAGATATTAGTTACAAAAATACCCAATTAATTATTTGTGACTTTGCTTTGCATGAGCTATAAGACAACATTTTACTTTAGAGTAAACTGCCTAGGAAACTGTCTAACCTGAGCTGACATTAATTACATAGCATTGTATAACATTACTTACAAGACACTCCACTGATCAAAATATTTCTTTTCTGATCACAATTTCTCTAATTAAAATATTTTCACTGTTCTTTTTCAATATTTCTCATTCACAGACCTTTCTTTTGCTTAATTTCTCATTTCTGTACTGTTTTAAGTCGTGACTGAGGTTGTGGACTCTCCATCCCGAGGTGTTTAAGGCCAGGCTGGATGAGGCTCTGAGAAACTTTGTCTAGTGGAAGGTGTCCCTGCCCACGACAGAGGAGCTGGAACCAAATGATCTTTAAGGTGCCTTCCAACCCAAACCATTCTATGAGTCTATGGTTCTATGAGTTTGTCTTCTCACACAGCTAACCTACTACACTGTAATTTTAGAAATTCCCTAGGAGATGAGATAATCTTACCTGGTAACTATTTCGCCTTTTTTTTTTTTTCCTTTTTAATAACACCAACCAAGAGAACAGAGCAAAAACAGGACACCTACCTATCAAGAGCAACTTTATTTAAGAGTGCACCCTATCCTGGGTCTGGCTTGGGAGGAGTTCATTTTCTTCTCAGCAGCCCATACAGTGTTTTGCGTGTGTGACTGAAATGGTGTTGACAACAGAACAGCATTCTATCTGCGACTGAACAGTGCTTGCTTGACATCAGTGTCTTTCTTCTTTCTCACTTTGTTCCACCTGAGAGTAGGCTGTGGGTGGGCAAGAGGTTGGGAAAGAGCACAGGTAGAACAGCTGACTCATAGCTGATCGTTTCATCAATGACAAAAACCAGAGTAAGAGAACATAATCTTAAAAACAGGTGTATTATCTTATTTAAACCAAGGGAACTGTTTATAAAAAGAAAATTTAGTAATTTATAGTATTTTAATTAAATTACTACAAATAATTATTATTTGAGTTTAGTATCTTGAATGTAGTGTAAGCTAAATATTTTGAATAGAGGCATTATGACTGCATAATTCCATTATTTATCAAGTAACTTACCTACAATTTACAATTGGTGAATTTTTATCCTAATTTATCTCATTTATTGTTTTGGTTCATCATGTTTTCTCATGGCACTGATTTCAAAAAGAGACTTTGTCTGCCTTCAGGCTCTATTCATTCATAAACATTTCTGTTATCACAAGCCTATAATCATCAACTTCAATTTGTTTTCCTTGCAATTAAAGAATTGATTTATTATCTAGCTCCATGTTTTTAAAATAGTATCAATTTACACATGAGCTGAATACCATTCTCGCTCATAGATTCATTGGATATATATGAATTCATTGAGTTCTGGGTCTACTGAGGAGAAGACAGAGGAATTCCGTACATGTCATGCAGATAAAGGCACTTAATTAAAGAATCATTTGGGGTTATATGCATGTAAATAAGGATGAATGGGATTCATTAAATACTCAAAAAAGGTAATTCATTGCTTAAAGTACTTTTAGTTCACTACAGGATCAGCTGGGGTAGTGGAACCACTGTTAAAGGTGTAAATTTATGTTCAGGTACATCATGTGCAATAATTTCAGACTGAAAAAACAATGACACAATAGTAAGCTATTTCTCTAAGTCTCCTCTATAAAACACTTACTAAATCTGAGAGGATAATTAATTCCATTAAAAATAAAATAATTATAGGTGATATGAATTCCCCCATAAAGCTTCTCTTTTACTACTAACTTAGACTAGATGTCAGAAGGCTTATGTTAGTGAAAATCAATCCCGTCTAAAGTCACCTCTTCAGAACATACAGTTTTGGTATTTCAGTAGTTCAACACAGTGTTGTATGAAGTGAAATGTCAGATTAAATATTCAAGTTTAGACAGTAGAAGTGTAGGATTTCTAAATAATTATTTAGAAATTTTTAGGCTGTACCTGTTACCAGAGGTTGGCCATTGTCATGAGTATAATCCTGAACACACTACAATATTCTTACCTCCTTCATCCCCCCAGGCAGAAAACAGCCAAACATCTCAACTGAAGTAGTCAGTTGGCTCAGATTGGAGTATTCAGGTGTTTTAAGGCAAGCACTTGTGCAAGTGCTTTGCTGGATCATGGTCAAAGCCTTCTTCAGGCTTCCTGATGGCTTCTTTATCCTTGTCCCAGCCTTGCTGAATGGGCTTTTAGGTTTGGGTAAAAAAAGATTGTATTTACTTTCTCCTCACCAAAACCAAATTCTGCATCTTCTCAGACTATTTCACTTAAATCAGCTGTTCATCTTTCTTTCCACTGACTGTCCCTTTTTATTCTTCATATCATTCATATCCATAGTGCTAAAAAACTGGTTTATTTTTCTTAAGAAACACAGAGACATCGTAATAACATTTGTAAAGGACCTGCTATAACAGCCTTTGAGATCAGTGGGAGTTTCTCCATTGACTTCAACAGGTTTTGAACTGAATTCTAAAATTCTAGGGAACAGCAATGAAAGAGTTCTCTCATCAATTCTAGGGAATAGCAATGAAAGAGTTCTCTCATCAATAGCAAAAAAATTCAGAGTCTCTCTGTATTAATTCTACTGAAAACAATGGCAAAATAACTGTTTACTTGTCTAAAATGAATTATTCTTATCCTCTGTCATATAAACAATTCCAATAATCAGCATGTACATATACAAATGTATAAAATTCAGAAATGCATGTAGTAACTAAAAATTAAATTATAATTTAACAGATGTAATGATATATCAGTATTAATAACCTCATTTAAAAGTCTGATGAATACAAAAGCTCTTACATTATAATTACTATTAGAAAGAAAAGAAGTCTTGTTAATCTGGTGAGCAGCTGATGACACAGAAAATTATAAATAATGGAAACATTGCAGAAATTAATTCTAGATTAGGATATAATAGTTTATAATTAATAATAGAAGGAATATTTTTAGCAGAGAGTAAGTATGATCATAGAAAAATAGGATGTTTTGGGTTAGAAGGGATAATTCCTCTGGAGACTGTTCTAATTATTAAACTTCTTTACTCACCCATGATTCTCAATTTTTTAAAAAGGACCAGTCTCTTTCCTACAACAGGTCTAAATGAAGCTAGATCCTGGCCACAGCATCCTACAAATGCTGCATCAACTGAATACTAATGAAATGTCTCTTTTCAAAAAGTTTTGAGGCTGCCAAAGACTAATGAGAGACTTTTCAAAATGGAGAGTAACACAAAATACAATTGCTTGGGCAATTTTAGGCAATCAAGTTGGTGGTATTCAATTGATTTATGTATAATTAGTGACTATTATATTGGTTAAATTAATTCTGAAGACACACTAGTTTTTTATTAGTCTGAGCTGCTTCTCATCTGTTGAGGCGTAGCTGCTGGAATAGAAAACTAAAAAGATGAGGCTACCATTATTTTTCCTATTTGGCAAAGAAAATTCATTACTGCTATATCAGACATTGTATGCCACATTGTTCTATATTTGCATTTTTACTAAATGCAATAATATCTGTATTCCCATCATCATCTTCCCATGTCTTTTAGTAACAGACTTGTCCTGGCACATATTGAACATATTTTGCATATAAATTCCAGCAAACATAAAATACAAGTTTATCTTTGCCTTCAATTAGCATAATTATTTCTGTTTAGTTGACAGTTCCTTGAAGAGTCAAACTGGAAAAACTGCTTTTATTAATCATGGCAAGAAATGCTAAGACAGCCCATGAGAGAACCTTTCTTTTACTTATTGGCTTTTTGTACAAGCTGTATTGGCAAAGTCATTTCACAAGTTTAATGGATGACTCCAGCTTGTAAAATGTATTGGTCAAGGTAGGTCATATGGTGTAGTATTTACAGATATTGAACCAGACAGGTTCAGTAACTAGAGTAGTTAAATAATAATGACAAAAGGCTGCATGTTTACCCCTGCCTTTTATGCCTTCCATAAATATTTTTGTGCCATGGGAAATTTAATGCTATATTGCGGTCAAAAGATCAGACTTTAATTACTTTCTGGTCAAAATTGACATTATGTTGTAATTTTTAAAACCTGTCATCAAAAGCTTAATTTTACTTGATAAAGACAAAAGTTGTGCCATCATGAAGGCTGGCATCATTTGTGTTCAAAAACAAGACATTAAGTGTCTGTGGCAGTAGCAGTAAAGGAATTAGGAAAAATCCCATCATTTTAAAATAAAAAGCATTCACAGTAGAAGCTCTCAGTTAGCATCCAGCTATTAGAACTGAGTCCAGCAGTCTGCTTTTTTTCTCAAGATTTGGGTTTTCTAGTGCTGTAATATTCCTCTAATGCAAATCTACTATCATGAGAGAATTACTGAAATTCACAAAACGTCATGTAAAATTAAGAGATTATCAGTAAAATATACTTTGGTATCTAACAGACAGCACCTTTTTCCTTTAACTTGGGTTAGCTATTTGCACTTTCTGTTTTGGATTAGGATTTGGTCATTCAGCATTGGTGAGAGGCATTGAGTGCCCACTAATCCTGAATAGTTTGCTGTCTCACCTGTGAGGTTTACCTTTAATCTGTCATTGATTTAAAGTTCACTGATGTCATTCAGTATTTCCACATAGGCAGCAGGAAATAATGTGTATAGTTGTTCTTTCCCATGCATTGATCTGCCAAAAACTAGCCAGCTTATTAACATTCTCACAGTACCACAGTGAAGCTACTGACTTCTTTAGAAGGGTATCAGTCTGTTGTTTGGGTCTGCATTAGTGCACCTACATGTCTTCCCAAATTTTCTTCATCAAATTCACAGGGCATACAGTGCCTTGTGTTTGTCCTTTCTTAACCCGTGCAAACAAACGTGTTATGTTCTTCATAGCCCTCCTCTTCTCTGCCATCCTGCCTGCTGCCCTGTTTTCCCAGCAGGACAGAGATGCTCTGGAAGGGGATGCACCTATGCAGATGTACCCAGTGACAACTGGGAGTATCACACAGAGATGAACTGGGAGTAGGGTGCCAGAACTAGCAGCTGACAAGGATCAAAGTGCCTGAGGAGTACTACTTCCCCTTGCCATTCCTGACCAGTGAAAATACACTTAGCAAAGCAAGAGTTTTTCATGCAACTTGGAAGAAAATATGAACATACAAAATCTTTTTTCTTTATTTTAGTGCTTACAGGAATAAATTTTGAGCATTAGGCAGAAAAACACACTGATCTCTTAAGACAACATTCATTATACTGTGGAGTAAGTAAACACAATAACAATTAATGAAATAAAGCTCTGAATTTTATAGAAAAGAAAATTGTACTTGTGATAAACGGATGAACAGAACAGTATTATATTTAGGTACTCTTTAAATGCAGAAGTAGTTACTTCACAACAAAATGAAAGGACTCTGCCAACAAGGCTTTCAAAGTTAAATAAATCTACTTGTGTTTGTTGTTCTAATTTAGTAGGTCAGTATTTCAAAGAAACCCTGGAGATAAGCAAGCTGGCAGGAAAATGAGGGAAACAGTTGTGGGGAGGGTAGTGAGAAAAGGTTTTGAACCTGAATTACTCTTGGCATTTACAGGTTGTGAGTAATGTTAATAAAAATTACAGCTGCAACACTGATGACTCTCTGTTATAATACATACTGTCAGGAGCAGCCTCTTCAGTGACCTCTGGTAATATGATTCTGCTGGTGGATGCTTCCAAATCTGCTGAGGAAGCAAGTTAGAGCTGCAGAAATGGCAAGCCATCCCTCATTCCCCAAAGAGGAATCTGGCACTGAACCAGAGATTCAAAAACTACAGCATATATTGTACAAAAATAAATAAGAAAATAAAAACCCTTTCTCCTACATGAGAGGAACACGTCTATTCTATGGGAGATAAAGGTCATGATAGCACATAACCACAGACTCTTTATCTAACAGATCAATGGCTATTCTTTTGTCTGTGTAAAAATGTCTTTTGTCCACAGAAAAACTGCTGAATGAACATAGTGATTGGAAAAAGTGTTACCTTTTGCATGCTGGAAGCAAATACATTTATTGCTCATATCTTTTGTTATACCTTCTTCAGCTATAGCACTCTATATTTCAACTTAAACACACCTGTAAAATTTCAAGTGCATCTATTATCACAAGCATTTGCTAGAGAAATGCAGTATATAATTACAACAGCAAAAACCTACTTAATTTGCAGTTCCTCTGGAGTTTGGTTTTATAATTTCAATAACACTTTCAAAAGAAAAAAAAAACAGCTGCTTACCTTAACCACTAATCCTGGATAACATTTTTTTTGTCAAAGTAATACACACTAAAAAGTAACTAATCATTAACACTCCACCAGTCTGGTTGCTAGATCTGTAACTACCATTTTCCTGGAGTTTCTGCCTAATAGAAGCTGTATTCATCTTTTCAATTTTTCCTGAAGTACAGCAAAGTAGCTAGAGAAGCTGTGTTTATGTGTAAAAGAGAGTCACCCCCTGTTGTGAACAGGCTGTTTCTTGCCTATTACAGTAAATAAAATACCTACTCATTGTTTAAAAACTAATTTTAATATTGACATTTTTGTACTGCTTCTTTCCCTTCCTCTCTCTTACACAAAAAAAAAAAAAAAAAAAAAAAAAAAAAAAAAAAAAAAAGTATCTTCCTTCTAAGTGATTATGGAAAGTAATGCTCCAGGCATAGCAAATTTTTTTCCAATATTATTGGCAAATTTCAATTGTTTTGATATTTACCTAATACTAAACTTTTAAATGTTAAAATAAAAAATCACCGTGGATTAAACAGAACATTTTAATTCCTTAAAACTGTGCATTAGGTCATTAGGTTTAGATATCAGGAGCCTTTCTCATGTATAATGTGAAACAATAAAGTAGCAAACTCCACTATCTTGTGACATTTGGTGCATCTATAATTTCTTGAAGTAACCAAAGTGTGCCCTCCAGAGAATGTTTTTCCAACATTTCCAAGTTTTATCTCTTTTTGCCATGCTGGAAATCCCAACATTATTTTGGTGGGAGAATATAGAAATGGAGAATATTCAAAAACAATTGACTTGGATGTGCAGAAGAAACTTTTAAAAGGTTGTGGAACCTTCCTAAATAGTCCTCAGAGATTCAACACAATCAAATTTTTCAAGTGTCTGTTTCAAACTCTTCTATTCTGGTGTTAAAATGCTATATTTCTATGCTATATTTCTATTCTACTTTTCTAACTACAGCTGGAAACAAGACCATATCATTAATTGCAAGTGTGGAGTCTTATGTGCATAAAGACAAACAGTGAAAAACTTATTTCTCAGGCAAAGTACTTAGAATCATTTTCATCACTTTTGTTTTGCTGAAGAGCAAGAGCTTCCAGCTTAGTCTTGGATGTAAATGTTTTTAATACCATTGGCATTATCAGTCAAACCTATTACTTCAGTGTCTAAGGGCCTCTCTCCCCCAAAAAAGACATTCACTCATTCAACTACAGAAGGCACTGTTAGAGCCCAAAATAATGTGTGTTTTCTCTAATCTAAATGAGGAAGGCACTTGTCAGGAGTAAAAACATAGGATGAGAGCAGTCACATCACAACTCTTCAGAATTTGAAGCTTGAAGTCTGTAATCCTTGGAAAAATAATCCCCATGAATTCTGGGAGAAGCTGAACAGGATGAAGTGAAGGGAAACAGTGCAAAGTTAATAAAGCAGGGATGAATAGGTAACTGGGGTAAAATAAAAGCCCATGGTGAGGATCAAGAAAAGTGGACGGAGAAATCAATTCAGAATTGCAGAAATTTTTAAATTGCAATCATTTTACATATACATTTATATATGCATTATATTTTTTATTATAGATTTCCAAGCCAAATTACTTCTATTCTTTTATGTGTTAGAACTAACAGACTAAGAAAATACTTAGAAGGATTTCTTCAGATATTTCATTTCTTTCTTTTTGTGACTTCATACAGGCAAACAACAGCAAACAAGCAATTATTCACTGAAGTAAGGCAAGCATATTAGACTAATTTTTTTTTAATACTGCTTTTGAAAAAAAATAGTACTAACTACTAAGATTATTTTCCAAGTCTGATTCTGGCTAATATTACTATAATATATCTGATAATTTACTG